GGGGGGATGGTTGGGAGAGGTATGGGTATCCTAGGGAAGATGAAGACTAAATTTGGTGATGTCGTTTGTGGTTTCAAGAGGATGGAGCAGGGGTTTGGCATGAAATAGTGTTGGTTTCTGGGGGTAAAAGGTGGATTTTTTTGCTTAATGGAGTGAGGTATATGCTGGTAAAGGTGGGGTTCCTGCGTTGGGGAACAGGTTGAAAATGATGCAGAAGTTAGAGGTTCTGGGGGGAGGGGGTGGCTTAGAATGGTGGGCGAACATGTTAGGAGGGGATAGCTAAAGTGGTGGTGATTGCAGTGGTGTCTGGTGTTTCTAGAGGGAAGAGGTTGTCAAGAGTGATGGTGGTTCTAGTAAGGTGATGATTGGTAATGGTTGGTGGATCTTGAATGCTCTGGTGGGTGGGTCTTGAATGGATGATGGTGTCTAGTTTCTTCCATCCAATTTACAATGTTTTGCATTGCCAATTTAATTTATTTTTCATTTTATTCAATATACTTGAATTCCACTTACAAAGGCCATTAAATACTGATTGACATAAAAAACAATACCCTAGATACAATCTAGAATCTTTAAATTTTACTGCTAAAACAAATAAAAATTATCCAAGAGTTTTAAATAAACTTCCACTATAACTTTTAGTATACCATATGTTCCTGAAAATTCACAGAAAATAAGAAATATTACTGAAAATTAATTAAATCAACTGAGAAGACTTACTGGAAGATGCTTAAATTTACCCTCACATGTTTTGATACATGCCACACCGGATTCCCTAACTGACACACTTTTAGCCAGTTAGGTGTTGCTGGTATTTCAGAGATGGGGAAGCTTTATAGGCGATACCTTTCGATATAGGATTTTAGAGAGGTCAAAAACTGTACTAGGGTTTCAGGCTACAAGTATCTCTCTTTCCTTCAAAAATCAGCAAACCCTAGTCCTAGGGTTTCATGTGCCACCATCTATTTTGCTGGTTTTTTTCTTTTTTGGGTGTCCTCACAAGCAAGAGGAGGAGAATAAGTGTCATCTCAATCACGAGGAGAGGATTTTTGTGCCCATTTAAAGGCCTTATAAGATCATGTAACCAATTTTGTTATAGTGGGACAAAGAACTCCGGTGGGAGTATGATCCAGAGGGATCGAGATTGGCAATATTGTTTGCCAAGACTCAGACTGGGCTTGACAAGCTAGACTAATCGAATACCAAACCCTAATTAGCTAAGCATAAAGCACAACCTAGAAGGATTAGCACGTTTTTCCGTTGATGAGGTCTGAGATGCCCAAGGTAGTGAGCCAAGGGATTGTGTGACCCTTATGTATGATTGGTGGGCCTAAAGGGATGAGGGCCAAAGCCTCATCTTATACCATCACACAGCATATACACATAATAGCCGTATTGGGAAGCAAAGCACCATTGAGTGTGATGCGTATACATGTATTTGAGATAACCCCCATATGTACCAATGCAACATGCGTGCTCCCTAAGGGAGAACCCGTACCCATAGACTAAGATTTTGTCCCACCTATTGGCTGACTTTGGTAGCCCAATCATGAACCATTGTGATGGACTATGGATCACTGGAACCACAGGATTAGTTTGAGAAGTGGGTGTGGCTCATGGTCTTTAGTAGAAGATGGAGTGCTTCAGTAATTTCGTTATTTCCTTAACATCATTGGATTCAAATCCTAAATTAATTTGAGTTTAATAATTTTTTAAATTAATAAAATGAAATTTCGGAAGTCTCTGGATATTTTATTTTTTGAAAATAGATTTATAAATAGCCAAAACTGAATTTTCAGTATTTAATTATTCAGAAAGAAAAACAAAATAATAAAAGGTTTCTAAAAATCATGTTCACAACTTTAAAATTTGTAATACACATGGGGGCCCATTGTACTCCATGGGCCCCACTAAAATATTGCATGAGGGGAGCTGCATGGGGCCCACTTGGGGCTCTATGAAAGGCATACCCCACATGTGTTATCCCTTTCCTATTTTGTGGCATGCAAAATAAGCAACTTAATCAAAATGAAATAAAAGGGAAAGTTTTGCAATTGAACGAGATTGACTTTTCAAAGAAACATGTATAAGAAAATTATGAAAATTAAAGGAAAGAGTAATATATATTTCATGTATTGAATATTTGATGGAATTAGGTTAGGGAAGCTCAAGGATAAGGTTCTAATACCCTTCCTTTAGATCATAATGGCTTGTAAGGCTAAGATCTCTCACCCCAAGGTCTCTTATGATCAATGGTCTGGATTTATTCTCTATAAGGATAGCTAACCCAAGAAGCCCTAACTCTAAGTATGAGTCTATAAATAATCTCTATGGGGGGGACTCATTCTCTACACCCCAAGTTATATCTCTTATTCACTCTCCCTCACAAAGGCGGCATGCCACCCTCTCTCTCTGATCTCTCTCATCTCTCTAGCCTCCCCAAGAGTTAGAAAATTATTTGTAAGAAAAGAAAGAGGGAGCATGCCCCAGTTCTCTAAGTCTAGAAGGGGCATGCCCCAACATAGCCTAAGGCATTGCTTTGTTCCACCGTGCTCTATGTGATTGAAGGGTTCCTAGCCTTAAAAGATCTAAGATAGACCTTGATCCCATGCGCCATCGAAGGAGGAGACCCGAAGTGGGGTCTATCAAGTCCAGTTGAGGTAATCTTCTAGCGCTTATGTTATGCAGTTTGTGTTTTATTATTGATATAAAAGACTTTTATTTAGTGGCAACAAGTGAAAAAAAAATTGTTATTCTTCTTTCTCTTTTGAGTTTATTCTGTATTATTTGGACCTCTATAAGTGCTCCAACCGGTAAAAAAGAGAAAAATTAAAAATTGCATATACCGTGCTAGTTCACCCTATCCAACTTTCAGGTGCCACATAAAGCGAACAGGAAAGGCTAACGTGACTCTAAGAGAAGAAGAAAGAGTCACATGCCAAAATATGGGAGAAAGAGAAACTTCCCTTTTTTTGAAGGGGAAAGAGGGGGGCCATGAGAGAGATAAAAAAACAAAAAATTACGTGAGAGAGATGGAGAGAATAACAAGGCATGAGAGAGAATCTTGTTGTAACAAAGGGGGCTCAAATCTTATTTAAATAAAAACAAAATCTATGTTCTACTAAGAATAAGATTCTAATCTAGATATGCCTTATCTAATTTTAAGCTTGACCTTTAGGATAATTAGAAAATTAGTGGGGGTGAGAGAGATTTAATCCGAGCCATCCATCCTACAAATCAGTCATCATGATTTTATATGGAAAAATAGGAATTTTATCGTCTTAAAATTTGACCCAGATCCAACTCCTACTTAAATTTGAAATATAATTAATCTTATCATTATTAGATCTCCTATAATATTTAGGAAGTCAAGGATAATCTATATTTTAAACCTTCCACTACAATATGAAACCAAATCTTATTTAAAATTAAAAAATTTCCTATCTTAAACTAATTTCAAATTTGAACAAACAAATTTAAAAAGTGTGGCACGCCACATTTTTAGCTTCTATATTTGGGCGGTCCCCGTAAGGGGGTTCACGTAGGCCCTACACAAAAAATATGCACACACATGTGGGACTGGATCTTTGGTCCCACAAGTGTCATCTTAAGTCATGAAAATTTTAGAATGCTTTTTTTAATGCATTTTTCAGTAAAAATAAAATTTTAAAATTCTGAAAAGTATCTAGAAAATCACATAACATTTTTAATACCAAAATAAAATATACTAGGAGTGGACTGGTACTACTGGGCCAAAATTGGCGACAATAAGAGCACTGCACTTGCCCCAAGAACCATGATCCATTACTGTTTTCTTATTCAACCCAACAAAGACCCATAACCCACTGTCTCGTTTCAGGAGCTCATAATTGGTTTGTAAAAGTTGCACAACAAACAATGGGAACATGATCCTGGAATGTTGATTTCAATTTTCCCCTTTAAGAGCAAGTCCAACACTTGTCACCACAGTCCAAAGGGGGCCCTCTTTATGCAGATATGCATGTGTCCCTCTATAGAGCTGCTTCCCAGAAATACAGTCGTCATGTATATATGTCGTGCGAAAGTTTTTTGAGGCTTTGGCCCTTGCTCTCACTAGCCTACAACCCCACACAGGTGACCACGCTATTTTCCTGGCCTACAAACATCACCGCTAGGCATTTGTCTGACCTCAACAAGGGATGACCCACTATAAACCCTTCTCAGTACTGCCACATGCCCAAGCGTAAGGGTTTTGGACATAGCCAGGGCTATAAACCGCCAAACCTTGGTCAGTCAACACACACACACCCAATAAATGCATATTTCATTATAAAAGTATCATATTTACAAGCTCTCTATACCTATAAAGGCCACAAAACCCAATAATAATCCCAACCTCTTCTTTAAGAAAATTGAAGATCACCAAGCAGCAAGACACCGGGGAATCACACAATTGTTTGATAATAAGGATGTTGCCAACTGCAGTTATTCCTAGGCTCGAATCTAATCACTAACAGACCCAAAATGAAGAAAGAAAAAATAAGCTCAAAGCTCCAAGATCTCACCTCTCCTTGCACTAAGGGGAAAATTTCCAATTTCCAAGTCTCCCAAGAGTCAAAATTATTCGAGTCATCAACTTGCTCAACAAGAGAAAAAGCTGATGAGAAGTGACACTAAATTAAGGGATAAGAATAACTAATAGGTGAACATGAGATGACTTGAGCTCATAAACCTGACAGTAAGAATGGGTAAATTGGTCATTATTCTTCACACAGAGTGAGTATAATGTATCTGAAAACTTTTGCATGACCAACTATATCTAAATATAAACGAAGAAAACGAAGAAAGAAAGGAGCAGAAAAGTGCTAGAAACAGATAATCACAGCAGAAAAATAGCAAAACAATTTCATATGTCATCCTTGGAACGTTACTATACATCAAAAATTAAAAGAATGTACAACACTAATACATCAAAAATTAAAAGAATGTACACCACTGAGAGATAAATAGAGGATATGTACAGGTTCAGTTTGCCGGTGGAAAGCTTCCAGCCTTGATTTAAGAACTTCAGCAGTATCATCCTTGCGTTGAATCAAGGGTTCTCCTGTCACCTTTCATTAATGGAAAAAGGGGTATAAGAATGCAGTTTTACTCAGATAGTACTATAACAACCATAGAAATTTTTTTTTTTTTTAATGTCACTAACAAACATAGAATTTGTGAGAGCAAAGGCATCCTATCTAAAACTAATATCATGAAAGAAATTTTGGTTATGCAAGGTTTATACAGTTTAGAACAAAGAAACAAATGGAATAAGGGATCCATCAAAAAATAAGCAAATAATAAAGGTAATGATGAAAATGATGAAATTATCTACCTAATCGTACATCTTGATAGCAATCATTCAGATCAAAACCACTTCAGAAGTAAATAAAAACATATCTAGGCACCATCTTGATTAAAGATGAGGGAAAAGGAAGTGCACCCCCCTCTTCTTTTCTTCACTTCCAAATGACTTCTTTGAATCCTAATATTCTAACTAATCCCACGCAAAAGCAACAAACCCAATACACCCATGAATCCCTATCCCCACTCTGTCTCCCTCTAAATCTTGCCCCAATCTCTCTCGTTATCTAGCATTCACACTCTTGTTCTTCCTCTTCCACTCTCTCTACCCCTTCCCCACTCTCTCTGCTTGCCCCATTGATCATGTTGTCTCCCCCTCTCACTTCGTGAACCAGAGTTCTATATATCTCTTTTTCCCCCTCCCCCATTGTTTTTTGGCACACAAAAGATGGTAGAAGTGCACCATGCAAACACATACAAGCACACACACACGTAGCCTCAGCACAAAAGTAAATGGTATGGCTTCTTGACTCCACGTAACGGCATAAGAGCTAAAGCAAGGCCCATAAAAACAAACAATGACTGAACTTTGGACCGGATCCTTTCCAAGTAGGTTTTCTAACTGAGGGAGCATAGTATACCTGCTCCCTCGGTCAGAAGACCTACTTGGGTGGAGTTTTTCAATCTGAAATTGTAGGAACCACTAAAAATTACTAGATGATTATTCTCAAAAAAGAAATTTGAAATTTGAGTTTTCTAACACATAGATCTCAACATCTAAAAATTTGATGGTCTCTATTTAATCTCAAAATATTATTTTTTAAGTGCATAGATAGTACAATTAGGATTTCTTTTTTATTGAGGTTCATCTATGGGTTGAATAGGTTACACCCCCAGAATTTGGGGTTAATTCTAGGTGGAGTTTTACCTGAAGAAGTAAATGGACATTCTAGTCCAGTGTTATAAGAGATATCCCATTTGTTTAATACTTAACCCATGCGTTCTATAGAGACCATTAACATTTTTTTTTATAATGACAGAAACCATTATCATTATCATGTTTACACTAGATTGTACACACTGAAAAAAGAAACAACAACAATCAATGCTTTTAAAATGGGGCCGCATCGTCGCATATGTGGCTGCATAATGCAAGATGCGCTGGTAACCGTATCACATGGGGCCGCATATGCGCTTTAGAGGGATGCGCCTGCATATGCACAGCATCCCACCGCATATGCGGCCACATCCTGCATAGGGCGCATATGCAGCCAGCGTTTAAAGTGAAAATAGTCCCTCAAAAAGGGGTATTTTCGTCTTTTATAGCCCCGTCAAAGGGGGGAAAGGGTTTGGGGGGTATTAAACCACCCCCCCCCCCCCGAACTACTAAAAACAACCACATTAGTGGCCTTTACTTCATCAAATCGATCAAAAAAAAAGTGGCAGAAATTTGTTTTTTTCAAATTCTTGGATTTTCATCTTAGTTGATCTTTGGTTGTTGATTTGTTTCTTTTAGGTGTTGATTTCAAGAAGTTTTAACAAAGCAAGGGTTTCAAGGGCAGAGAAGAAATCGATATTTTCTTCAAGTAATTCGTAAGTTTTTTTCCTACTATAGTAATACTTTTTCTGGGGCAACATCTTCATCACAGTCTTCTAGCAACAAGGATCCAATACGGAAATATGCAAAACTAAAAAATCCGAAAGGCCGAAATTGGGTTACTAGTATGCTTCATGGAACTACTTATATGAGGGGGGTATTTTTCAGCAAAACGAACACTTAAGCCAGTACTTGGAGAATGTAAGAGCATGCCCACAAGCTATCGAAAGGATAAAAAAAGAGATTAGAGAATACATGGATAACTTGAAAAAACAAAAAGAGAAGAAAAAATAAAACGAAAAGAATTAATTGATGAAATTCAATTATTTGATGACGATGAAGATGATGAGGATATGTCAGAAATTGGAATGAGGCAAAGGGGTACTCCAATGTTAAGAGCGAGGGTAAATATTGGTGGCAGTATTGGAAAAAAAACACCTCTCTCTAAGGAGCCAATGGACACTTTTTTCACACATGGCCCTGAAATTGTGGTTCAAGAGAAGAGGAAAAAAAACAAAACAAACCTCAATTGTAAATCAATACAAGAAAGAAGAGAGGAACACGGTAGGTAAGTACATTGCAAAGTGGTTTTACATGGCCGCCATTCCTTTTGATGCTATAACCCTCAATAGTTTGGCATGTATGGTTCGAGCAATTCGGCAATTTGGCCCAAGACTTGATCCTCCTACACTACATGAGATTAGGGTCCCTTATTGAAGGATGTTGTATTCAATGTAAACATTTGTATCTTTTATAGATAATTTCCCTAGTGGACTACTTGACCCTAAGTTCAATAACCAATATATTGACTTCAAATCTAAGGAACCCTTCTACAAGTCTAATAAGAGACATTTGATATCGATTGCTTAAATAGGTTCTAAGTCGATAAAGCGTGAGATGTTGTTGATATTGGAAACTTGTTTCTATGGGGCTTCTTACTTGACTCCATAGAGTTACAAATCTCGATTACCAGTTGGGATCATGCTCGATTCTACACTAACATGAATCCCAATTCCAAACTAGCATGAATCTCGGTTCCACATACATAAGAAACTCGATTCAAATATGTTAGAATCTTGATTCCAAGCTGCTAAGAATATCGGTTCCATATACATTGGAAACTCAATAGCTGAGATTTCATAATCTCGATTCCTTGGGGGTCGATTTCAAAGAGGCAGGAATCTCAATTCCAAAGAGGTCAGAATCTTGATTCCATATGTGGCAGAATCTTGATTCCATTTTGGTCATTTCCCGATTCCCAAAAAATAGGAATCTCACTCCCTGCGATTCCCATGGTATCGATAACGACTCCAAAAACAAGAATCTTCTAGCCGGCTGCGATTCCAATTCCTAAAACGATTCGGGTTCCCTTGCATTTTCAACAACTATAGTACAAATTGTTACTGACAATAGTGCCAATTACGTTACAACTAGGCATTTTTTGACTTTGAAGAGGATGCATATGTTTTGGACTCCTTGCGCAACTCAATGTGTTAACATCATGCTTAAGGAAATGGGTACAACATCTATATTTAGTGGGGTGATTTCAAAAGCAATAATTGTTTTTGGATTTATATATAATCACACCATAGTCCTTAGCATGATGAGGAGTTTTACAAAGAAAAGAGATATAGTGAGACCGGGTGTCATTAGATTTTCCAGATCATTTCTCACTCTTCAAAACCTATGCAAGCAAAATAATGCCTTGATGATCATGTTTGCTTCAAAGCAACGGAGTAAAAATAAGTGGTCAAAGCATCGGGATGGGAGAAAGGCTGAACAAATTATTCCCAATACATCCCAATACATCGGGATGGGAGGTGGTTAGCCCTTTCGTGAGGGTGCTTCGATTGGTTGATGGTGAAGTGAAGCATGCCCATGGGCTACATACATGCAAAAATGTTTAGGGAAAGAGGAGAGATAAAAACTGCTTTAAAAGATGATGAGAATAAATGCAAGGCTATACTTGAAATTATTGATAGGCGATGGGATAACCAACTTTACAAGCAACTTCAACCTGTTTCTTGCTAATCCATCTCTTCACTACAAGCACCCACCATTGAGTCTGATAGTGTAATAAATGGTGGATTCTTAGATGTGCTTGAGAGGTTCGTCTCGAAGAAAAATATCCAAGAGATCCAGAGCCAAGAAATGATTAAGTTCAAGCTAGCATTGGGAAAGTTTCGAAGAGAGATTGCTACTCGAAACAGGGACCCTATATATCCAAGTACAGGCCAAAAGTATCATTTCTAATTTCTATTTGTTTGCGTTACAGTTTTTTACTTGTATAATGTATACTTCCATTTATATAAATAATTAAATATTTATCTAAAATTTAAATTATAGAATTTTATACAGCTACATGGTGGGCATTATATCGAAATCTACGTCTGGCTATTCGAGTGTTGAGTCCAGTGTTCACAAAATCGAACCGAAACGGTTAACCGAACATGGGCCCAAAAGTGATTTAACCGGCCTAACCAGTAAACCGACCGATTCAACTGTTCTAACAGAGTAAGTCCCCATCAGTCTAAAAAGTGTTGAAAAAAATTAAAAAAAATACTAAATTACCAAAAGCATATAAAAAATGATATAAAAGAAAACACATTCAAATGAAATTGAAAATTAATGAAAAAATTAATTTTAACGAATCAATTTATGCTTAGGGTTATTTTTTAAATGAGTAATGATCCTATAGAACCCTCCCCCACCCATGTATGTAGGACCCCAAGGGATCACCATTAAAGTTGGCACGGATCTTTAGAAAAGTTATCACATGGGTGTAGGACTTGACTTTTCTATAGATCCATTGCAAATTTAATGGTGATCCTTTGGGGCATACACACATGGGTGGGGAAGGGTCTATAGGATCATTTCTCTTTTAAAATTTTCTAAAAAAGATGGGAAAATATCAAAGTGAGTATGAATGACCAAAACAATTTTTAATCTCTATCATAATGTAAAGAATATTACAAATACATTACAAACCAAATTCCTATTTTTGGTAATTATATATATATATATATATATATATATATATTTGTAAATACCAGTTGATCACCAAAACCGCCCAAAATCGGAATCGACTAGTGGCCGGTTCCAATCTAACCAGGCGGTTAGCGGTTAGATCGCCCGGTTTTTCTAACAGGACTCATATAGCTCATCTGGTTGCGACGCAATTGGAGTACATTTGAGCATGTAAGTCCTTAATCCTTATTTCTTGAATTTCAAATTTTGAGTTTCGAAAATCATATGCGCCCTATGCGGGATGCGACTGCATATGCACTGGGATGCAATGCATATGCGAGGCATCCCTCCGAAGCGCATACGGGGCCTCATGCGATGCGGTTGCCAGAGCATCCCGCATTATGCGGCCACATATGCGGAGATGTGGCAGCATTTTAAAACACTGACGTTACCCATGCTATTTTAAAATTCCACGAGTTGAGATGGGACTTTGTGGAGTCAACCAGCCTTCCGATATAAATATTGTAGGACTTGAGTAAATTTCACCGTTTTTGCTATTCTAATGCATTTTCACAATAGCTCGGCCTAGTCCATTGAGACTTGACTGAGAAAATCCCTAGTAAGTCCCAACCCCATTCCATGGTTTTAAACACTGTAGCGACAAATACCTTTCAAAACCTTAGCACCATCTAAATCATGGAGCATCAAAGCTCTTGAAAAATTACATGAACTGAATATTCATCGTAGTTAGATCTTTGTGGGCAGAGAGCAAAATGTCAAAGGTCTGAATTCCACAGTTAATCTTATCCGAGAAACATAGTTGGAATAAACAGGTATGATAACTCGTATGTCATTGCACTTTGTTATTTTCATTTAAATCCGCAAGTTCAGTCCATAATTATCGGAAGCACCTTCAGTAGGGGACAGTCCTGCTACAGGAACAAAGTTCCACGACCTGGAGCTCACCTATGACTATATGGAATCTCAATCCCATATAGAGTTGGATCTCGATCACAATGATGGATTAAATGATTTTTTTTACAATTGATGTATGATTAATTACATAAATTATCAACTATAAAGATGACTATAGTCACTAACTCACTATACTTTGGTAGCATGTGTATGCATGTCACTGACTCATTATAATATTGTAGTGTGTATGTGTCTGTATCTATATATGTTGATTATCTGCCTTACATTGATAGGATATCCGAGATAGATCTCAAGCCTTCGTGAACACCATCGATAGACTATGATGGTCTAAAAAACACTCTCAGTGCCTTTCTTGTCAGAGACCTACAATCTCTATTATTTTTATAGAAAATGACATATATCCCCTTTGTTCTATTTGCGGTCCCAATAAAAGCCTGGGGTCCACAAAAAGGCCCTGGACCCTCGCAATGTTTTAAAAGTAGGATGCCAAACCCCTCCAATACCCCCGCAATGGGACTTTGTTGAGTCAACCAGCCTTCCTCTATAAATATTGTACGACTTGAGTAAATTTTACAGTTGTTGCTATTCTAATGCATTTTCACAATAGCTCGACCTAGTCCATTGAGACTTGACTGAGAAAATCCCTAGTAAGTCCCAACCCCATTCCATGGTTTCAAACACTGTAGCAACATATACCTTTAAAAACCTTAGCACCATCTAAATCATGGAGCATCAAAGCTCTTGAAAAATTACATGAACTGAATATTCATCGTAGTTAGATCTTTGTGGGCAGAGAGCAAAATGTCAAAGGTCTAAATTCCACAGTTAATCTTATCCGAGAAACATAGTTGGAATAAACAGGTATGATAACTCGTATGTCATTGCACTTTGTTATTTTCATTTAAATCCACAAGTTCAGTCCATAATTATCGGAAGCACCTTCAGTAGGGGACAGTCCTGCTACAGGAACAAGGTTCCACGACCTGGAGCTCGCCTATGACTATATGGAATCTCAATCCCATTTAGAGTTGGATCTCGATCCCAATGATGGATCAAATGATTTTTTTTACAATTGATGTATGATTAATTACATAAATTATCAACTATAAAGATGACTATAGTCACTAACTCACTGTACTATGGTAGCATGTGTATGCATGTCACTGACTCATTATAATATTGTAGTGTGTATGTGTCTGTATCTATATATGTTGATTATCTACCTTACATTGATAGGATATCCGAGATAGATCTCAAGCCTTCGTGAACACCATCGATAGACTGTGATGGTCTAAAAAACACTCTCAGTGCCTTTCTTGTCAGGGACCTACAATCTCTATTATTTTTATAGAAAATGACGTACATCCCCTTTGTTGTACTTGTGGTCCCAATAAAAGCCTGGGGTCCACAAAAAGGCCCTGGACCCCCGCAATGTTTTAAAAGTAGGATGCCACACCCCTCCAATAACAACCCCCCCACCCCCCTTCCCTCCCCCTCCCCCTCCCCCTCCCCCAACAAAATGAAAACGAAGCACCAAAACTACTTTTATCCCTGTCTGATTTACATTCCTTACTTTTAAATAATGAGAAATTCATTCACAACTCAAAAAGATGGCCTCCCATCAAGAAACTCCCCTTTCTCTTCCACCCATGAACCTCTATGTCTTCACCAAGTAGCCATCTTTCTCTCTCTCTCAACTGCAATATTCACTATTTAAACCCAAGAGATAGTTCTTCACCAAAACTTCAGGCACAATTGATTCCAGTATCCGCAACAAGCCTTATGAATGTGACTTCAGATATCATCACCTTTAGGACTTTGAAGCATTCATCAATGGCATTCATCAACACCACTAAAGTGATTCCTGCAAATGGACTTATTCCAAATAATGCTAGGATATTTATGCTAGCAATGGCCTCTCTAAACAAGCTCTTGGGGCGGTGCTCGGGATTGACATGGGGGAACCTATGATTAACCTGGAAAAGACACTCTAGAAAGAGCTTGCTTTCCTGATCAAAGATTTTATTTTCAAAAATCCACTACCAAATCAAACATTTTCAGTGGAAATCTTAGTTATAGAAGGGGACAAGCTACCCAGGATACAGCCCTTGATGTTGATGACAAACTGTGTGACTCTTTCCATTACCAACTTCAACATAACCCAGTACTTTAACAGTGAACCCTGATTTTACATATTTCACAAGGATGCATTTCTGTGATATTGCGTGCTCTACACTCGACCGCCTATACTAAGATGTTTATATTGAAGATTGGTCAGCTTATTGAGATCTTGATCTTTTCATCTATTACAACATGCTTGGGTTCTCCTTCACTTTTGTTAACCATATAACCGATAAATCGAGCAGCAGCATGACATTGAGTACTGGTCCTTCAAGTTGGCTGGTGTCCGTTTTTTTTTTGAGAAAGGCAGTTTGGCTGGTGTTAATCCAAATGCCATACTGAATGGATTGTAGATTATGAAGATGAACAATTCAGTAGGAAGCCTTGGTGGCTTGTATGCCACAAATCCATCTTTGCCACGCAATCAATGGGGAAAGCGGTTGATTTTCAATTTGGCATTAGGAGCTTCTTCCCTTATCATTTTCAATTTGGCATTAGGAGCTTCTTCCCGTACCCTCCATTTGATATTGGGTTTCCCCTTCTGCAAGAGAAGGTCAATGATGTGCAAGGGAGAAGAGCGCTTATAGTAAATAGCAGAACCAGTTTATAAAAAGAAATATTAGACTATGGCTCTGGAGTGAGAAGCCGACTAGGTAAATGCCACAAATGTTAAAATCAGCAATTTATCCAAAGTCAGGCAGTAGAGGATCCTCCAAATCTTGCATTGATTTTTATTGGTCAAAAATCTAAATCAGATATTTCACATGAAAAAAAAATCATAAAAATTTCACAGACACATTACTGAAGGAAAATTCAATGCCATACATCATCTAAGCCCAGCACTTTAGGGGGTGCAAACTTGGAGTGGTATGTCCGACCACTCGATGGGTGGATCCATCGACCAGTGATTCTCTCCTCCAAGATTTTATCATCGATCTCAAAGTTTAGCACCTTATCAATTTTGGTCCCCTGCTTCTCAAGCATCTCATCGAGCTGCATCCAGGAACATTGCTAAGTACAAGTAAAAGCCAATGCCCAAACGTAATAAAAAACTCCATTTTTCATATCAATTTTTTAAAACAATAATCAATAACACAATCAAACGGAGACCTTTTCTGCTTGAGCTACAGTCCTTGGGAAGCCATCAAGTATGAAACCTTTCTGACATGAAGGCTTCTTCATTGCTTCATCAATAATTCCCACGACCAAATCATCGGATACAAGTTCTCCCTGAAGAAAGCATGAAATCAAAAACTTAAAAATTTACTACAACAATTCTCAGATTTACACCTTTTCTTTGCTCTAGCTAGCTGGAGTTCAATATTAGCCTTCTCTTTACGTCTGATTGTTATGTCTCAGTATTAGGATTTCCAAAAAACAGTAAGAAAAATCTCAGTCACAACAAGAGATCACAAGCAAAGCAATCATATGAAACACTTATTACCTTATCCATGGCTTCTTTAGCTTTAATGCCCAGAGGAGTTTTAGCAACAACAGCAGCCCTAAGCATATCACCAGTTGCTAAGTGGCACAAGCAATATTCATCCTTGATGACAGGTGACTGTGTACCCTTTCCGGATCCAGGTGGACCTGCAAATCACTCAATCCTCACTATCACAAGAAAACTAGCCTGACCCAAACACTATCACCATTTACCAAAAAGAAAACGAAAAAAGAGAAAAAAATGATAATCTGGACCCCAAGATGCTAAATTTCAACAGGGGATATTGTTTGGCATCAATATGGAAGGTATGCATGGTTATTGGAACAACCATAGGTGAGATGAGTATGCTTCCAATCGTTAAAAAGTACGCTAAGCTGCTCCAATGGATGGGGCGGCACCAAATGCAGCTAGTGACGTAATGGATACCAGTCAATAAAACATAAATTGGCTATCAGTGACAAAATGAAATAAATAAATATCCGTATTAAACAATTTCTACGATAGAAAAATGCCAACCAGTCAAATAAACTCAACTGCATTGCTTCCCGCTTATAGTAACAGAGTTTCCTTACTTTCTTCATCTTAATCATTCTTTCTAGGCCCAAATTGATTAAAAGTTTCTAATTGCTTCACATAGTAATGACCAATGCTTAATGACCAATACCAAATGCACAAAATAAGCAAAGGCAGCTGAACTTGACGGAAGACAATGAAAGAGTCGCAGAGTCTAGATTCAAACATCTAGGCTGCTAACAGCAATTATCAGAAAAGAGGGAACAAAGAGAGAGAGAATAGGTTCAAAAACTTAAGAGAGAATTGGTTCAAAAACTTAGGTAGTTCAGAAGAACTACCAGGAGAGAGAGAGAGACTGAGCCCTTAAATTCACGACCTGCGACCAGATTGACTCCACTGACTGATGAAAACTTCACAGAGATGAATTAATAGAAATAAAAATCGTTATTTAAGAGTTAAATGACCAGGAAAAAACCAAGTTGGAAATGGTTGAAGGGGCCATGGTAGCAAACTTACGGCTTTCTGAATATTTTGCATTTTATGGACGAGGGCCTCTCAGAAACACAAAGAGATAAAGGGAATGAGAGAGAGAGAGAAAGATTTGTTGGGTTAGAGAGAGAGGGGGAAGAGAGGCAGAATGCATCTTACCAACAAGAATGACGCGTTTGGAGGGCTTGTTCGCACATTTCATGCGGCGCATAAGCTCTGCCATCAGATCGTTTGAAGGAACATCTTCCAGGTTCGCTGCGCTACCCATCTCTCGCTCTCTGGAACTCTCTTTCTCTCTCTAAAACTCTCTCTCTCTCTCTCTCTCTCTCTCAAATTATGTACCTCAAGAGCAAGAAACACAGAAAGGGAAATGGAACCAGGAGGGGAGAGAGGGTTGCTGGGATAGCAAGTCAAAAGTGGGGGAAAGGTTCCGGTCACAGGCGGAGATTTTAATTAGGACGCGGTTTCTATGCGGCGAAGCCCGCAGATGTAGAAATTCGGGCTTATTAATAAATCTAGGTCTTTGGAAGGCTGCAGTTTGTATAGAGCGGAGGCTCTAAACATTTAAAGTAGAGCGCACCTTTAAATAGTGCGGAGAAATGTGCTTTCAATATTGAAAATCTTTGTTATAGCTTTAAAATATATTTTCATCTCTAATTACAAAATTTAAAGCTTAAAAAATTAATGTAGATAGAGCAAATCTATGAAAACTTGAAAATTGACTATCAAAATATACATTATTTCCAAAACTTGAAATCTATTTTTTTTGTACCCATACATCTTGATATCGAGGATGATCAATTTAAGGTTATTTAGGCATTAAAACAACCTCTTCGAGTGATATTTCTTAGGCGGGCTCTAATTTAATTGTTTAGAGCCTCGACTCTATATAAACTTTTTTCTTTTTTAAATGAATTTTTTAACTCTTTTTTTAAGGACGTGTAAGAGATTATGAATATAAAAAAATAAATAATTTAAAAAAATTAGAAATAATAATTCTAATAATAAAATATCTTGGTATGGGTGCAGTTGGCATACGGACGCCTCCGTAGGTGTAGATATAAGGTGCCTTTCAAATTTTATCATGGTATATAATTTTGATGTAAAATATTATTAGGATTATCTCAAAATCTATTTTATATCTAATTATATAATTTAAAATTTCAAAATTGGTTAAAATCAAGTAGATCTATAAATATATGAAAATCTTAAAAATGAACGGCGTAGATAATATGTTGTAAAATACACTATTTATAAAACTTAAAATCTTTTTATTTTTCATAGTCATGTATCTCATTTTTCATAATCATGCATCTAAACTTCAAAACTACATTTTTCGAAAGGATTTTTTAAAGGCATCCGTAGTTCTACATGTTACATCCTTATATAAACTTTTTCCTTTCGATAGACCATGGATGTTTTACGCTTTTTTTTCTTGGACGGCATACGTAGTCATGCGGTCCAGCCCGCACGAAACAATTTTCTTTTTAAAATTGACCGTAGCTACGTATGCGCTATTCCTTTAAGGTTGACTAGAAGAGTCCCAATCTTTAGAAATATATCCGAACTGTCCTCCGGTATTAATGCCATCTCCTCCATCCTTTGCTTTCCCACACCCCAAGAACCTTGAATAGAAGGTGGCGCCCCATTTTAGATCTTGGAATGGTCCCCACGGGTTGTGTGCCACAATGGGGGAGATGATGGACCAAGCGGAGCCGGGCAGCCCGGCCCACCCTCAACCCAACCCTAAGAAAACTAAGGGCCACATCAGGGCTTGCCCTATTTCTACGGGTCTCATCTTCCTTTTTCTTTACTTCTTTTTCATGCATTTTCTTTTATCTAGCTCTGCAAGCCTGATCGGGCTAAGTTCAGGTCGAGGGAAGGCCACTTTCGCCTGACGGGGCCGGGCTAAGCATAGGCCACCCCTATGGGGACTAGGTCCGGCCAAGGTTATTGCCAGGGCTAGCCACAAAATATAGATTGCAGGGTTGACCGAGGCAGGCCACATCTGATCAAGCCTAGCAAACTTACCCAAAAGTTTCTCTTACTGCTTTTAGGTTATTTTGTTTGGCTCAGCCTAACTAGGACCTAGGCCCATCCCAAACCCAGCCCTTACCAACTCCACACATTTATTTTCTCTTTTCCCCATCTTAAGCAAATGTAGTGGTGTCTTACACTTAATTCTTTTAAAAAGAAATATATTTAGAAAAATTGTTTCATTCAAGCTGGACCTCACTTCTATATATGCGGTCCAAAAAGTATAAAGCATCTATCTTAAAGATAGATGCAACTAGGTGTTCCATCTAAAAACGATGGAAACTAACGGCCCAAGTGTTTTTTTACTAGAATTATTATTTTTAGATTTGAAAATTAATTTATTTATTATATATTCATGATCTCCATGTTAGCGATTACATATCCTTAAAATTTAAGTCTTAAAACCTATCTCCAAAATAGATTTATTAAGAAGCCCACATTTCTACCTATACGGGCTTAGCCACATAGAAACTGGGTCCATATATTTATGCGATTTTTTTCTCACTAAGGAAATGTTTATTGAGGACTTTGTGGGATGAATCTTTGTGCCGCCCCAATAATCTCAAGCTAATGTAGTTCTTTGTTTATAATTAGATTCTCTCAAAGGTAATAAATCGATGTAATTTGTTTTACAAAGGACAAACACACTAGATGGGTTTTTGGGGTTTAGGGTTTAGGTTTAACCTTGTACTGTGCACGTGTGAGAGATGGCACTTAGTAATGCATGATGCAAGCATCACTGATGGAACATTTGGAGAAAAAAAAGAAAATAAAAAGAATATGCAAGCATCATGTAACTTCATATTGAGCGTCCAACAAAGACTTATAAAAAGCTCAAACCAAGATTTAAGCAAAGTGATATAACACTTCATCTTTAGTGTCTACACGATAAATAAAAGGAAAAAGTTTATATAAGGATGCAACCTTACCTCTATAGCTACGGATGCACTTCAAAAATCGAGATGTATGATCATGAAAAATAAAAAGATTTTAAGTCTAAAAAATAGTGTATTTTACAACATATTATCTACATAGTCCAGTTTCAAGATTTTCATATGTTTATAGATCTTTTTTCATATGTTTTATAGATCTACTTGATTTTAACCATGTTTTAAATTTAAAATTTTATAATTAGATATAGAAATAGATTTTGAAATGATCCAAAATTACATCAAAATTATATACCATGATAAAATTTGAGGGTTCACCTTACCTCTACCGCTACAGATGAATCCGTATGCTAAGTGCACCCCAAATAAAAAGCTTGACCAAGATTGAAGCAAGTGTTATAACCTGGTCACAACTCACAACTAACAACATAATTGCTTGAACCCTTAGTTGGAACACTCTTTTTCATCATGCATACAAAACCTTGTATGAAACATTGTTAGAATATATTTTACCTTAAATATAACATGTTGTAATCACCTTAAACTCTAGCTCTGTGAATGGTTGAAGCCGTACTCAATCGAAAAAGAATGTTATCAAAATATATCTAGAGTAGTTGCAATAAAAACTGCCTTGTTGACCCTTTGGCTTTTCCGGCGATACGAACATATCAAAGTAATTGTCTGAATTTAACCGGCTAGAAATACGGTGTAAAATTGGAAGTTGTCAATTGATGTTCATATGCCCCTCCTTTTAAGGGGTAAGACAATAAGTTTATAGCTCATCCTCATTATCAGAGTTTTTTTTCAATTATTTGGGGTGAGCTCTACAAATCTTGACATATTATGATCCAAAAGACATACTCTCATTGAGACCCTAATAATCCTATATAGGAGAACACAAAGATTGGGATCCACAACGGTTTTATATCTATTTATTTATTAGTAAAGTTCGTAGCACACTTCCAACCATCCACTTTCACTTATAAATTGTAAAGTGACATTGTAGGTGAAATTCTAATTATATATACTAGGCAAATAAGGCTTTCCCTGCCTTCCAATAGTTGAATGGCCCTAATAGAGTAAAGGAAATGGTGGGGTCCGCATGTAAGGAATGGTTGACCTCAAATTCGAATTCATTCCTTGACTACCTGTTGGGGGTGTTCACACACCACACGTGAAAGTGGGGGGAAACTCATATTCTCATGATGGGTGGGTTTACTGCTAATTACCAATTATGCGTATAATCATTTCTCAAACTTATGATTTGCTTAGGTGACTAGTGTCTCAAAAACTTTGACTTAAAAATTAGAAATGTACATGGAGAAAGAAACCCTTTTGCTTCTTTATCCATCCAAATACTCATCTTAGGGTGGAAGCCAAGGCTCTCTTACACACTGAGGGAGGGTTTTTATTTTCTTGGTTTTATCCGATGTTTTAAAACCCGACGATTTCCAACCAAGTTCACCATAAAACCCCACTTTTATATATATATATATATATTCCTTTTTTTTAAAGCTTATATTATATTTTTTTATGTCTCCTCTAAATTCTCACCCCAAAAACACCCATTTTAATTTTTAGTTTATTTTATTGACTTAATTATTTTTCTAGATTATTGATTTGTATCAAACCAAACCCATTTCATATCACAGATCCTATGATCTGACACGGACCTATGGGGAATGATCCGCCGCACCGATCCGGGTTTTAGAACACTCCATTTGGATCCCTAGAAAAAATTGTTTGAAAATAAACTATTTTTAGAAAAATATTTCTTATAAAATAGATTTTCGCTATTTGAATAAGCATATGGATCAATGTTCAAGAAAATGTTGATCCAAATTAGAACCGGCTGATTCAGATCGAGAATTAGTGGGATTGGTCTGGTTCTCATTCAGAACTAGGGATCGATTGGTTCCCCACAGCAATGGCCGGTTCACTCGGCTACTTCAGCCGGTCGCTCGGTTCCCACTTTTTTTTTTTTTTTTTCAATTTTTTTTTTATTAGCTAGTATTCTCGGCCAGATCAGATCCGCCGATCTAGACCAATTTCTTGGATGGTTGATTCACTCGTCTAGTTTGCATTTTTAAAGGATGCAATCTGGAAAATAACTTCTAATTGGAAAAGGGGTTAAATGCGAAGGACTCTCTAGAGAGGAAAATGCGGTAGAGATAGATAAAGAAATGACTAGATCGAGATGCAAGTAACAAGGGATTTCTATGAATAGGCAGAGATAGATAGAGATATGAAAAACACATACATGGATTTTTTAGAATGAGAAGAGAAAGAGAGAGTTGGGTTAGGGGAGTTAGGTTAGAAAACTAGATCGGACGTCTCAACAGGCCATCCTAAAAACTAGTTTGAATCGGTGACCGGGCCAATGGAATCTGCTAAAAGAAATAAATAAATTAAATAAAAAATAAAAAATGAAAAAAATAAGAATGTGGGAATTAGTTGTTCAATTTCCTAACGGAACCAGCCGGTTGGGGAACTAGTTCCTATCGAG